AATCCGTCCAAGTTCTCCAGGCTCCTAGTCAAGTGTTCCAGTCATGAGACAACCCTTTCACTTCCCCTTAATAGCTGCCTGAGATGGTTACTTAAATTTTCTTGACAGTATTTGCTCATGAAGAAGGAATGACGTATTATCCTTTTGGGATGCTCATTGCAGAGATATTTCCTTCCAATTAAGCAAATAAAAAAGGAAAACAGTGCCTCATTCCTCCCCTCTCAGATATGTTGGATTCCATTGCTATATATTTTAGCAGGTTGACTGATTTAATGAGCTATAGCAATTAGAGCCAAGTGGGAGAGGGCAGTAGCTGTCTATCTCTGGATACCCAGATTCAAATCCTGTTTTACTAGGATGCAGATGAAAATGAGGTCAGTGGTCTCATTTAGACACATCACACAATCTGTCATTTTGATTTTGTGCTCATGAGACTTGGGACTACAAAAAGAGGGGGTGTCTGTTAAAATGCACTAGCCTACAGTCGTTCATTTAAAATCTCCTGTTTTTTTTAAATTAATCCCAGCAAATTATCCATGGCTGATCTATGTAGCTGTGTGTTCCCATTGCTGTTACTCTCATCTCTCCTCCTTGAGCCCATCCATTGCCTGCTACACCCAACTCTTATGCATTGTTTTAATCTAGATTGCAAAATCATTAGGACAGGGATTTACATATACTATGGGCCAGACACCCTGGTCTCTGCCGTCCCCTTTATCCCAGGATGGTGTAGAGCTGATGTGGGGGAGGGGAAGGGCAGGAGGGAGGAGTGACTGGAGCATGATGCTCTCCAGCAATGCTCAGCTGCTGAGTAGGGCCTTAGGGACCACTGCTAGTGCAATTTAGAGTAGCCTGAGGAAGTATTAAGTGGCTGTGACCCATTACTCTGTTGTGCACAGCTGCAGAGAATCGTCTCCTATATATTTTCACAGCATCCAGTACAATGGAGCCCATTCTTGACTGGAACCTCTGGGCACAATAGTAATGCAAATAACTACAACTTTGGAAAGAATCTTGAACAACTTTAAATTTCCCGTGGACAGATGTCCACATCTCACACACACAAAAAAAAAGAAAAAGCGCACCATAAGTGGCACTGATTGGCTGCCTCCACAGAGACGCCAGCAAATGAATGGATCATGGAAAATAAATCATCCCCTCAACCTCCATTGGCAGAGCAGTATCGGTAAGCTAACTATGCGCGCTGTACCTGCTCAGTGGATAAATGGAGATATTCAGGGTGCACTGTCTTGTCTCCACTGGAAAATTTGGTACCCAGTTTCCAACAAAAAGAAGAACAGGAGTACTTGTGGCACCTTAGAGACTAACAAATTTATTAGAGCATAAGCTTTCGTGGACTACAGCCCACTTCTTCGGATGCATATAGAATGGAACATACTGCATTTTAGCCTGCAGTAGTGTGAGGAGCAGTCTGGACAGGGTTCAGGTGTTCATAGCATCATGTCATGAAAACCTGTGCAGGCCTAGCTCCCTTCTGCTCTTGGTCTGAGTAAGTGACAGCTCTTTTAAAATATTATTTATTTGCTAAACACCAGCAACATCCTTGGCTCTAAAAGACACACACACAAAGACAGCCCTGGCCTGAAACAGTTTAGGCATAACATTTGAATTAATTTCCTATTTAAATTAAGATTTTTCCAAATATCACCAGATAAATCTCACCTAGGGGAACAGAAGCTGCAGTATGGGACAATTTGTCTGCAGATTGTGCTGTAACAACATTCAATAATGAGCCAGACAATAATACCTGGACTTCATACATAAAGATGACAAAGAGCCAGTTTATAGCTATTGAAACAATATCCTCATTAGCAGATGAATAATGATAAAATATTTATTTTTTCTTCCCCAATATTGTTTTCCCAATAAACTGGCTTAATCCTTGAGCAGTCTATAGTGTCTGCCATATCTCTGTTTGTGTGCAAGAGTCCTCTGGGGTATTCCCTTTATTTTGTTGAACGGGGAGTTCCTGTTTGTGAAAGCCCGATAACATTTTTCTTCATGTGCTGGGTGTATAAATCATGCTGGTTAGATAAATGGGTGGGAGTAAGTCCACCCACCTTGAGAAGGAAGGAACCTTGATATTGTTCTGTTGATCCCAGGATTCATCTGTCTCTCCCAAATGTTGTGTGTTGTTCAGTTTAGGGAACCAGGCCATGAATGATTTATGTACATGTTTAAGCGTGTTCTCCCCCAAATTAGGGCTCTCTTCCACAGCGTGAAGGGAAAACTGATCTAGCACTGCCACATGCTGGACATGTAGTAAAAAGAAATCAAAACTGAATTTTTCTTTATGCCAGGTGGAAGAGGAGGGGCTATCTTAATAATCTGCTTTAGAATTAGAGGATGGGTCTATGGTGCTAAGAACAGAGGTGTTTATGGGGACCGTCAGGTAGAAGAATACCAGTAGGTGAATTGGTTGCTCAACTTTAGCCCTGGTTTATGCTTGCTTTCCTGGTGAGAACCCTGAAAGAGGGCCCCTAGGCAGAAAGCCCTCCAGAGCTTTGTTCAGCTGGTTTCAGTCATAGTCCTTGTGCTCTTCTGTGTGCAAGTGTAATTCACTGATTGGCATATGTTACGTGTCCGCTTCTCTCCCAGATCCACAGAGTCAGATAAAGCCCATGCTACAGAAGGGGGCTCTGGAACTCAAGCAGTGGAGACTCATGCTTTTAGCTTTGGAGATTCCCCTGTTCAATCCCCAGTGTTGGCCAAGGTGGATATCACACAAAAGCAACAGCTCAGTTCAAGTTTGGGCACTAGATTGCTCAGGTTGGACAACGTGAGTGGAGGGGCCTAGCAGTGGTCTCACTTCCTCTGCTGATAAATCAGCAATGCTGGGGCAAGCACACACTGACTCCTTTTCATGGGGGTACACTGGCTGTGCTACTCCAAGGCTCCTGGAGGTAGGCAGCTAAATACCTTGAGGATCTGGGCCATTGTGCCTGGCTCAGGCACCATGCAAGTTTCCTTTAGCATTGGCTGGGCTGGTGTGCCTCCATACTGCCCCCTACTGCAAGACTGAACCTTAATGCCATATCTGAGTCTCATATGTATTGCTTAGATCGTTTCAAATGTTAATACTATGCTCCGATAGATCCCCAACCACCTGGTATGGGGTAGGCAAGTGGGGAACTGAGACTTTTTATGCTCTGCAGTGTTGTCGCCATGTCAGTCCCAGGACATTAGAGGCAAGATGGGCGAGGTAATATCTTTTATTGGACCACCGTCTGTTAGTGAGAGAGACTGCTTTCAAGCTACACAGAGCTCTTCCGCAAGCCTGGGAAAGGTACTTAGGCTCTGTCTACTCTTACAATGCAGCTGCGTTGCTGCAGCGCGTCTGGTGAAGACGCTCTACGCTGACAGGAGAGAGCTCTCTTGTCAGCATAATAAAACCACCTCCGCGAGCAGCAGAATCTATGTTGGCGGGACAAACTATCCCACTGACATAGCACCGTGCATACAAGCGATTATGTTGGTGTAACTTATGTCACTCAGGGGATGGAATACTCACACCCCTGAGTGAGATAAGTTTTCCCAACATAGGCGGTAGTGTAGACATAGCTTAAGAGTATCACAGCTAAATACAAGATGGAACAGATAGTTTAGCATAAGTAGTTAGCACATATTGTAAGGTACCATTCAAGGTGAAGTGGCCCATTGTAGTCATAGGACAAAAAGGAGGCTTAGTGAGGCTGTCTACACTACAGCCTATATTGGCAAAACATACTCGTTCAGGAGTGTGAAAATTCCACCCTCCTGAGCGAAATAAGTTACTCCAACATAAGCGCTCATATACACAGCGCTATGTCTTCTGCCGTTGGTGAAGGTGGTTTTATTATGCCCATGGAGAGCCCTGCAGAGGTGCTACAGTGGCACAGCCGTGTCAGTACAGCTGCGCCGCTGCTGCGCTGCACATACAGACATGGCTTGAGTTACAGATTGTTGTAATAAGCCACAAATCCGGTGTCTTTATTAAGACCATGATTTTTAGTGTCTAGCTTATGAATTTTATCTCCCAGGCTCAACGGAAAGCTGCACAACACCTTCAAAGGACAAGCCAGGGAGATTAAATTCATAACTTTACTAGACACTAAAAATCATGGTCTTAATTAATAAAGACACTGGATTTATGGCTTATTACAACAATCTGTAACCCACTAACTCCCCTTTTTGTCCTATGACTACAGGGATTTTAATGGCCTACTTCACCTTGAATGGTCCCTTAGAATATGTGCTAACTACTTATACTAACCTATCTGTTTGAGTTGGTATCTAGCTGTGACCCTCTTCTTTCCCAGACTGGAGGAAGAGCTCTGTGTAACTCAAAAGTTTGTCTCTCTCACCAACAGAAGTTGGTCCAATAAAAGATATTACCTCACCCAGAATGTCTCGCTTTTTATGCTAACCTCTATCAATTTTATTGCTACCTCAACCTCTCAAATCCCTCCATTCCTGCTTTATCTCGTTGGTTCACCTGTTACATCATGTCTGATATTTCTCTGGGTCAGTGACTGTCTTTATTGTTACGTTGTTTGTTTTGAGCCGAACACATTGGGGTCCTGGTCCTTGATTGGGGTGAATAATCAGAATGGTAATTAAAATACAGAATAATATTAATAACGTGGCCAGATTTTGTAGCAGCAAGAAAAAGAGGTAGCAAATTTCTTCCAAAGTTTTGCCTTTTTCCTGTTTCCAATTTCTTTCAAAAGTCGGATTCCTCAGAGACTTTTTAAAATATTTATTAACAAATTTTTACACATTAAAAATCAGTTGTGAAAGTGAATATAATCCAATTGAAAGCCAAAAAAAAAAATCATGTTCGAGGATAACAAAACTTGTATTATGACTGCAGAAAGATATGCTGTCCGCTGCAGTTATCTCACCAGCAACCTCCATGGTGGTTGCGTATATTTATAACAGACACCAATGAGTCATATGTAAACATTTTGATTATAAAGATTTTCTTCATTTTCCCACAGACTTGCTGCTTTCAAACAGCTGTATCCCATTCCTGGGCTCAGCGGAGGGGTTTGATTTTCGGACCCTGCTGCTAGATGAGGAGAGGGGCCGGCTGCTAATCGGAGCTAAAGACCACATCTTTCTGCTCAGCTTGGTTGATTTAAACAAAAATGTAAAAAAGGTCAGTTTGTTTTCTACGCAGTTCATCTGATAAGTTTGTTTTCAGCCCCTTTCCCGGCCTTGTGTTTTGGTTTTTGTTTTTTCTGTCTTCACTGGCTAAATGGCAAATTCACTATGTGATGCGTCCTCGTAACAGGACTTAATAATCTCACCTCCCATTGTTACATGGTTTGCTTTTAATCATCTGAGGTGATCAGTGTGTGTGACCCCTTGTAGCAATAAAGGAATGTAATAAGTCAGATACCTATAGCGGCTGTGCACTTCATGAAACCATAATATCAACAATAGACAAGGACACCTCTCAAAGTATTTGTTTCTTCTTTCCTCTAGCCTAATGGAGACATTTGCAAGAAAAAAAACAAAAAAAAAAACAGTGAGGTCAGTTCTGTCCTTGCTTACTGATTTAATTGGGGTTATGGGTCTAACTAAAAGTAGAATATGGCCCATTAGTATGTTAGTCTGCTGTGTTTTAAATGGCACTCAACATTTTGAAGGCAATTTAAATATTCTTAACTGTATTAATAATCAGAATTATTTGGGTTATAAGGGACCTCTATTGGGCTATATATATTGGGGTATAGCCCAGGCCTCTACCCTGGGTACAATTAATTTTGTAACTTCTAGACCATATCTAAGAGAAGGATGTCAATTTAAGCTTCAATATTTCCAGTGGGGATGATGATTTGATGCTTTTTGCACACACCTTTGGCCTCTAGAGTATAAAAACCAGGTGCTAACACAAAATCTCTAACTAAAACTGCTTTTGATTGTCACATGTATGTTTCTGATTGAAGAAAGTTAAATCCTCAGCTGTATTTTATATTTTCTTTAAATATAACAGGAGGTTTTAAATGGTAAATTCTGCTGTGGGCTATACCAGTATAACTCAATCTGGAGTAACTTAACTGAAGCCAATGGAGTTAATAGGTGTAACAGAGGAGAGGTTGGGCCCATCTGTTTGAAGGAAAAACATGAGAGCATTGTAGAAAAGAGTTTCCAATAACAAACTTCACAATCTGAATAGCTTATTCTTATTGCTTTATTCATATTTCCTTGTATGCTTTTCCGAATTCTCATTTTCAGTCTTAGAACTCAATATTATAGTCAGAACTGTGACAATGTAAAAATGGCCCCCACTCATCTCTGAGGGATAGTTAGAGATAACAGAATTATTCCCACCGCAGGCTTTCTTATCCCAGGTTTTGGCAACTGGGCAGTGGAAGAGAGGGAAAATCACTTGTAAGGGAGGCAGATTTGTTTCTACAAATCCTTACTTTAGCTAAACTCCCATTGATTTCAGTGGGAGTTTTGCTGCTATAAGCACCACAGCATTCAGGCTGAAGTTACTGAGGATATGTCTATACTTACCTCCGGGTCCGGCAGTAAGCAATCGATCTTCTGGGTTCGATTTATCGCGTCTTGTCTAGACGCAATAAATTGATCCCGGATCAATCCCGGAAGTGCTCGCCGTCGACGCCGGTACTCCTGCTCGGTGAGAGGAGTACGCGGAGTTGACGGGGGAGCCTGCCTGCCGCGTCTGGACCCGCGGTAAGTTCAAACGAAGGTACTTTGACTTCAGCTACGTTATTCGTGTAGCTGACGTTGCGTATCTTAGTTTGAAGTGAGGGGTTAGTGTGGACCAGGCCTGAGACAGTTACCCTGGAAGCACATAGTGCTGTTTCTGCAGAAGTGCTTTCCAGAGTGTAAACTCACTTGACAACAGAACTCAAATCTACTTGTGATGAATCAAAATCAATAAGTGAATAACTGACCGATACTGTGATAATTTGAAATATGTAACTAAATAAAATGTGCAGATTTTAGTAGATTCTGACTTCAAAGGAGGCTATGTGTGTAGATGTACCCCAGGATCAAACTCAGTTTTCACTCACAATTTTGCTATGGAGTTTCCTTTAACTGTCTTGAATTTTATCACAAGACAGTCACACAAGATATATTTCGGCAGCTAAATAAGTAACCAAAGGTGTTGAGAACCTACTTATGCCGTTAATTTAAATGGGAGGGGGCAGCACTTTTGTATACTGGACCTTTTATTTAAATGCCTAAGTATGGATTTCAATGCCTAATTTTAGGCACTCAAGTTAGACAATATTGGTATCTATGTATCAGTCTATCTGTCTTATCTGTTTAGTGCTGGCATCCATAACCATAATATACTTCAGGGGTAGGCAACCTATGGCACGCATGCCGAAGGCGGCACGCAAGCTGATTTTCAGTGGCACTCACACTGCCCGGGTCCTGGCCACCGGTCGGGGGGGCTCTGCATTTTAATTTAATTTTAAATGAAGCTTCTTAAACATTTTAAAAACCTTATTTACTTTACATACAACAATAGTTTAGTTATATATTAAAGTCTTATAGAAAGAGGCCTTCTAAAAACGTTAAAATGTATTACTGGGACGCGGAACCTTAAATTAGAGTGAATAAATGAAGACTCGGCACACCACTTCTGAAAGGTTGTCGACCCCTGATATACTTACACAATGATGGGGGAGAGAGAGATTTCATGAACATTGTAGCCTAAGGGTACTCTCCAGTACCAAATGCCAAAGGGTACTCTCCAGTAGCAAATAAGTGTCAGAATGTAGTGTTTGTCTGTGCTGTGTTTAGACTGACTGTGGTTTTGATTGGCTCTGTGCCACTCGGCTCAGCTCCAGCCTTTCCCTGTGTGAGGAAACCACACATGTTGGGACTACCAGCGTCTGAAGTGTGTCTTTTGTACTCTTTGGACTATATAAGTCTAGGGTGTATTGTGCTATAGGTGTCTATTAGGGATAGAAGCAACATATTAGGATATTAAATTTCTTCCTGCAAATGGTACAATTACAAATGACTTTGCAGAAGGATGAGGCAAGAATACTGTGCTTAGAGGTTTGAGACGGGCACAAGAGGTTTGCAATCAGAATGAAAGTTTGTGTAACTAAGGCACAGGGTTTCATTCTTCAGGAAAAAAAAAGAGCACGAACCATGTTTGAATTTTATAAACCTAGTGAATCTAGAGATGTGCATCTAGATCTAGAGAGTAACAGGTTGTTACTCAGTTTTGGGGGATTCAGAGGAACAGTTATAATCCTGAATATCTAACTGTGAATACCCCCCTATTTACACTTAGAATCAGGGCCAGCTCCAGGGTTTTTGCTGCCCCAAGCAGCCCCCCTCCCGCCAAAAGAAAAGCCGCGATCGCGATGTGAGGCGGCAATTCGGCGGGAGGTCCTTCGCTCCGAGCGGGAGTAAGGGACCCTCCACCGAATTGCGGCCGAATAGCTGGACGTGCCGCCCCTCTCCGGCCTGGCTGCCCCAAGCACCTGCTTGCCAAGCTGCTGCCTGGAGCCGGCCCTGCTTAGAATGCTACTTTCTATATATTCACTTGCCAAAATTATATTGTAGAGTCTGTTCAGATAAGTTACAGTATTTCTGGAAAAGCCTCAAAAGCAGGGGGCCCTTCCCCCTTTTTAAAAAAAATACCTTTTTACAACTTTCTGTTACAGCATAGTTAGTTACATATGTTGGCAAGAGACAGAGCAGCTACTCACTATGAAATTCTTGATGAGGAGTATAAAATATAGATTCTGTATTCTGTCACATCACAGTTTCATCACCAATTAACATTTTTTCCTTTTCTTCAAGAACATGGTTTCTTTAATTGTTGTAGCTTTTAATCAGCTTATTCTAGGTAATTGTGGAGGTGATTGACAACTCCCATCTATTACTGTGTTAATTTTGGTATGGTTGAAAAACCACCCCCTTTTCAGCACAGTACATGCAGTCACGATCGTCCTCTAGAATTTAAAAGGAATGAATACCATTAAAATTATAGATCAATTAATTTAGGATTTTGTAGATATTACTGTAGAAATATGTAGCACTTAATAGAGTAGGATCAGCTTTCTATAGCAGGGATAGAATTTTCAGTGAAATTACACTGGACCTACAAACCTCAAGTGGATTTTCTGTTAAATTCCATAGGGCTTTTCCATAAGAGAGCTCATAGGCATATGCCCTAATGTCTTCATCCAAAGAGCTTAAGATACTTGACAAATATTACAAACTGCTTATAAAGAAGAGGCCCAGGGACTGTCTTCAAACAAATAATAACTGCAAAATCAGCATAGAAGTAGACAGAAAAGAGCACTAGTGGATGTTTGTCACAGCATGTCACTCCTAGATGGTATACTTGAAGAATAGTAGGTTGTAACCAATAGAGGGTGTAGTTTAAAAGGAAGGCATTGGAAAGGATTTTGAAGAGAGCATGCTCCTCAGAATGATGAAGAGGTGAAAAGGAGTTTTGATAGGCATCCGGCTGGCTGAGTTCCCGCTGAAATGATTACTTCTATACTGATGGGATTCATTTCATTTACTGTATTGTTAGAGCACCTAGAGCCTTGGCTTATTATTTTAAATTTAAATAAACGAATAAATAAAGTAAATAACTTCAGTCAACTGTACACATGTTGGTGAAAAGGCTGCACAGGAATTCCCATATGCCTCTGCATCTTATGTACTTACAGCCCTCAGCAGTGTAAGCAGGGTTACATGTTAGCGTGGTTATCACTGTCCGATCTACAGTGAGACCCACCCTTCTCTGCAGCAATAGGAATGCTATCAAGAGCTGACAAACTCCTGAAAAGCTGCCAACCTACAGGAGCTGTCAGCGCCAGAAAACACATCCACATATGGGCCAAATAGATAAACGTGTCACATCCCCACTCTCTTCTTTGGAAGGAGTTATTTTGACCTGCCACACTGTGCATGACATGAGGTCACAAATTGTTGTTGTTGAGAGTCTCCTTAGCTTGCAGCTTGTTTTGTGGCAACACCATGTGAATGTTTGAGGGGTAGCATGTGGATTAAGAGTCTTGTGATTTATCTCTTTTCACTTTTGGACAGACGCCATCCTCATGTAGTAAAACACTTGACAAGGGCCCCATTTTGCCACACATTCTCAGGCAAAACTTCTATTTAAATCAGTGGGAATTTTCC